ATTATTTGTTTTGTAATTTAGTTCTTATATATATATATATATATATACATATATATATATATTTGTGTATTTGCGTAAGATTTTGCAAATTTTGCATTTGACAAATTTCAGAAGTGAATTGAACAGTAGCCTTTTTTTGCAACATATTTGTTTTATAACTTGTTTATAAGCTTGCCATACAATTTATGCTTTATTAGTGATAGAACCAACAGTAAGCTAAGTAGGCTAAGTTTGAATTCATCATTAGACATTACATTCAAGCCAGGGATGATCATACCATTGTATTGACCGTTGTATTCCAAACAGTTATTCCAAATAGTACATCATTCGTGGTGTAATCGTTTTAAACCCAATTTGTGTGAGGAATTCATATATTACATAAATATACTGTAATTGATGGGAATTCGTCACAGTGATTTGAAAGTGATTGATGTCGTGAAACATCTTGTAGTTGTACTCCATATTTTGCCGACATGAAAATTGATTGAACTCATATATTATGATCATTCTGAATTCGTCATTTTTTATTCCAAATTTAGTCGATGTTAAGAAATGTTTAAAAACATTTCTTCCCGAAAAGTACAATATCCAAGCACTTATATTTCCTGAATTAAACGATTAGCTAGTGAGATTGGAAGAGTTTAGTTGTTGACGTTATCTTAGGGACGACCTTGTTATCTTCACTTGATCATTTTTAAGAGGAATGAAATGAGAGAACGAAATTCACACAAAATTTTGCATATATGAAAAGCAAAGGAAATTGTTGGAAATGTCAATTCTACCTTATTCATTTCTTAAACATGTTTTCCAGGCATCTCCGTTTGCTGTGAGATTGGCAATGTAGACCAGCTTGCTCATTGAAAATTATTGTAAAATTGCACTTCAAGACCCTCTTGCTAACTGTTTATATATCGTAAATCATTACTTCCATATCGTTCACTTCATTTTTTTTTAGCTAATTAATTTTTGGGTATCATTTTATCTTCCCGAAATAATCTCGCAAAATGTTTTTGCAAAAGGTATTCTCCAAACTTTATTGCATAAAATATTTTCCATACTTCTGTATTATATGTAATCTGTTATCAACTTGTGCGTTATTTCACAGCTTATTTGACTATAGCAATGATAGCATATAAAACTGTCGAGTGATCGGATCTGTGAAAAGTCAAGTACAGGAATGGGGAAATTGTATATGAGACGAGAAGAACTGATACCACATACAGTCACATTGTAACATCTTATATTTCCTTTTGCAATCCATTCTCTTCCGCTTAATAAATTATCGTCTGGGTGACATCATACTTCAAAAAAGAAAAAAAAAAGAAAAAAATTTCAAGAGTATGAATTTATCGGACCTCATATCAGAAATATATTTGTATTTCCATCACAGAGGGATATCAAAACACCATAGTAGTAGTAGTAGTAGTAAGTAATAGTATAGTAGTAGTAGTAATAGTAGTAGAACTAAGTAGATTATCCTAGGCAAATTATATTAGTAGTTATAATGATGCTAGTCCTGTTGCTTGTTAACTATACCTTGTGAACTTGTTCATTCTGCCGTAATGCTATGTTGACAAAGGTACTCTTTATCCAAATTCCAAATTTCTAAGTTTTTCTGTTCTGTTTTCTTCATCATAGTTAGTGTTCTTTTTTTCTTTTTTGATAATGTAAATATTGTAATAGAGTGGGAAGTTGCTGTGTGGAGCGCAAGTTGGTCTATTTTAAGTGTTTTTATCGTAAATGTTGCCTTGATCCATAGGATGTTAATAAGGTGCTAACATTTGCATTTGATTAGATTTTTAATTTAAAAAAAAATTGCATTTTAAGAAATGAAATTATTTAATTAAACTTATATCGTATGTAGTGTGTTTTTATATCTGTAACATCTGATGTGAGTAGATGTGAATACATCTTTGTCATAAGGTAATAACGATCGATATAATTTATTCTTATGCAAATAAAGGGTCATATTTTTGTCTCTGTTTTTGTTTTGTTTTTCTCTTGTGCATGTAGATTTGTTTCTTTTTTTTTAATTCATGAAATGTGTGGATGATTTGCTTTATTGCTTTTATTATAGGGTGAATTATTTTGAATACTTCATGCATAATTCCAGGGGATAGTTGATTAGGAATTTTGTTCTCCGAAAATTGAATCAGAAATGTCGAGAAATTTGCAAGTGCTGGCGATTGAGCCTTCTCATGAGCTTGTCTTTAAAGGTTTGTGTTCTAATTTACTGATTCCATTGGTTTAAAAATAGTTTTGATGCATTATATGATGTAGTATGGCACAGTGTAAATCACTGAATTCAAAGTTGCCACATTTTCGATTGAATGGTAGCTTTTATTAAGAGTTAGGTAACATTAAAGTGAAGTTTTATTCGTGTTTAGTGGCAGGTCTCTCAAATTAACTAGTGATGATTTCTTTTCAAGCTCTATAAGACTAAAGAAATGTCTATTGTGTAGGAAAATCTAAGGGCAAAAAAACAAGCATTCGAACGGAAATAATATGCTAAAAATTTCGCTTTTTCAGGTCCTTTCAATGATGTAGTAACTTGTCAGATGAGGTTGACGAACCCTACAGAGCGTCAGGTTTGCTTCAAGGTACGTCAAGCTTGTCTTTGTTTACAACTTAGATGCATGTATGAAATTATTCGTAAGTTTGGTAGAATTTTTGGATATACTGTTTTATTTCTTGCTCATATCCGTAATGGATATGAGCAAGAAGTGGTGCTGTATATATACTCATCTTTTTGTGTAAGGTACTTTAACTAGTGGCATATTTAATTGTTATTGCTATTGTTAACGTTGAAATACACCTTTATCTTTTTTGATGGCCGAGGACTAATCATGAAATACTGATAGAAGTAGAGCATTTTGTATTATTCCTTTTTGATGAAAGAGGCAACTACACTCATCTATGGCATATCTTTGCCAAAGTATGGCAGTGCATTGCTTCAAGAGTGCTGGAAAGTAACCCTTCGTTTCTTGAAACATTGAAGGGAGTTTTTCTTTTTGAGCCAAAGATTGATTTCGAAATTGATTTCGAATTGGATTTATTTATTTAGGTGAAGACCACAGCTCCAAAACAGTACTGTGTCCGTCCGAACTCGGGTGTTCTCAGTCCAGGAGAAACATGTAATGTAGCAGTTATGCTTCAACCGTTTGATGCATCCAGTAATGTAGAAGTGGAACATACAAAGCATAAATTCATGGTACAGAGCGTTTATGCACCACCAGGCGATCTCTCATTAGGTATACGCTTAAGTTTCATTTTTGTGAACAGAGTTTTTCATGTCTTCCGTTCGATAGACCGACTGGATGTAGCTCCCATTGAAGGCATTCGTTAGTTTGCAATTTCAAAGATACGCTTTGGAATATATTAGGTTTAGATGTATTTGAAAGCCTTCAATGGAATTAAATTTAAGATAACGAGAATTTTGTCCTCGAATCCTTGAAGTTCTTTACTTGCATTTCAGTTTTCTCTTGGAAGTTCTTTTTGTGAGGGGGAGGGGGGAGATGTAGCCATGTTTAGTGTAATGGTCCAAGAGTAGCTGGGAGTTAAGTGATTTCAGTTCGGTTCTGTTGACTGCGCGATGATTCAGATTTGGTGACTAGCGTCTGAGGTGGACTGACCAGCCTCGTCTGAATAAGACGGAACCCAAGGCATGGCTGTTCGCCGAAAGATCGAAGCTTTAGTCGCTGTATGAGCGCATGGTTTCTTGCAGACTTTAGGGATAGTCAGGTTTCTGGTGAGTTTCGTCCTGGGTCAGGTCTTTGGAATGTCTACACTTTGGGGAGAATAGCGCAGTGCATAATTTGATGTACATGATTCACAAACAGATAGTATTTGGAAAAATACAGATAGTATTTGGAAAAATGCACAGCCTTCCGAACTTATGGATTCAAAGTTGCGAGTAGTCTTCGAGCATCCTCCTGCTTCGGAGTACGGAGGCGATAAAACACCTCCTCGAGTGTCCTCTGAATCAAAACCAGCAACTGGTGGATATGCTGCGGTACTGTTTATTGCTTTAGATTTTACGAAAAAGTAAAACTTAATTTGCTTTTTACATTGTCTCTTAAGCATTTCTTTCTTTTTTTTTGTTCCTAAATATACTGTGTTTTACTATTTATTCAATTAATAAGTCCAAATGTACTGAAATACTTCAGAATCTGGATGTCGAAGTGCGTCGTGTAATTGAAGAGAAGAATAGAGTAGAAGCTGCGAAGGCTAGTTTGGAAAGGGACAATAATAACCTTAAGGTTAGCGCGATAAATTGCAAGGTTTTGCTTTCCTTTGTTTGGCTTTCTGTGCACATTTTCTTGTGATTAGAAGCAAGCAGGTCTTAAACTTTTAAAAGTTATGCTTGAACTTCGTAATCCAACTCATTTAGTAAGTTTATGGAAATATTTTTGTGTTTCCATCTCAGTTGCAAGTCTTATTGTACATCCTTTAATTTCAGGCTCGACTTGCTGCACTTGAGGCAATTCCTCAAGTCACGGGTAACCAGACATCAGAAGGTGGAATCACAATTCTTCAGGTGAATTGTTATGTTATTTAAAATGTACGCAATTGCTATTCAAATTTTCCGACTATTTCCTGATGTCGTGAAAACTTCTATACTTTCCACGCGTGAGGCTAACAAACTAATGCAGCGGACCAGAGGAATGTAATGGTTTCCGATTGCCATTGAATTTCTCTAGCTAATCCATCATAAAACAATATGTGCCATAGCTAGATAGACGCATCCTTGAATTACTAAGATAGTCTAAGTGATTTCTGCATTGATCATGTTTCACTACAAAGAATTTCCCCTAATTCATATCATGTGTTCTTGGTACGCTGTTGTCTTAAGAATCAGAATTAATCTTGCACGTTATATCTTCTGCTTGCAGTTTACATTAAGATTGACACTATATGTGCATTAAAATTATTATTTTCAGATGGTGTTGATTGCATTTGCTGCCCTTATGTTTGGACTCATTTTTGGCAAGCTGTTCTGAGATGAGATGGGATGTACTTATTGCTTTTGCCAAGACGATAACTGACACAATTATCATTCATCCCAGTAGAGAAACTCAGAAAGTTAGCGTGATGTAAATCCATTTCATCCACGAATGATTATATCTTTTTCTCCTTTTCGTTACTTAGTTATAATTTAACTTTTTTATCTTTCCTCGTCTATTGGATCATGGTATAGTTGGACGTAGTAAATTTTGATGAACCCTACATTTATTATTTTTCTGTTGTTTTCCTTTTTTCTGCTTAAAAATAACGATGCCTGGTGAAATGTTATTTCTGGGTGTCGGATTTTCCTTTTCTTTCTGTTCAAAAATAACGATGCGTGGTATGAAATGTGGGATGGGAAAGTCGAGGAAGAAAGGAGTATGGGTGGAGCAAATTTGCTTCCGTGATTGTTCAGTCCTCAGTGGACTGGAGTTCATTGCTGTTATGTTACGGAGACTTTGATATATATTCCGAATGCGACTAATTTATCTCCTTGTGAGGAAAAGCTTCTAGAATGTGGAATAACCTAAGTAATTCAATTGCAGTCATTAGTATTTAAAGTACCAGTAATTGTGAAGGCGATCCTTCATTTAGGAAGTGGTAGTGGAACTTTTCTTTTTTTTCAGAGAAACGTAAGCAGCAGAAGTAATACATTGTAACTGTTTAATCATACTGTCGTTTAAGAATCGAAATCAAATGCCCACATGTTTTATTTAAATGAGAACTTCGCTTGTTATTCGTTCATTTTTGTTGGAGAGATGTTGAATAAAACTATCGAGATCATTTCGCGAAAAACCGTACCAATCATTTGCTTCTCAGCTCCAACTATATTTCAATCAAATGAACAGCGGAAGTTGTTATCATGAATTTCGGGTTTTTCTTTTCGAAACTTTCACTGATAATTAGTCGTTTAATACACCTGAATATTGAAGTGTTTTATTTTTTTTTTCGATAAGGTTTTAGTGTTTCTTTTTAGGAAGATTGGTGACTTTCATGATAATGCACAAAAATGATGAGGTTCGTTCGTTGTCACATGTATTTATGTACTTAACAGATTTCGTTTGTCCTTTTTAAGTGATTCAAGTCTTCAAAATGGAATATCTCATCTTTTTTTTTTCAGTGTTAATATTTCTTTAGCCATTCAATAATCAATCTTGTGTGCTTTTTTTTCGGTGAAATAAAGTTAATTTTGCGCTTTTGGTTTTTTTGATTTATGGTCTTACATTACAACTGTGATTTTTTTTTTCCATTCGCTGAGATACTTCAGATAAAATTGGGTTGAGTTCAGTTAACCTTATGAGACAGTACCGAGCAAGAATTATGTATAACGGTGATTCTCAAAATTATAATTCAGGCTTAAGCATGCTTTCACCAGATTTCCCATTAATAATCACGACTATTTTTTAAGCATTACTGGGGAAGCTTGTATAGAAATGTTTTTTAGATAAAAAAAAAAAGCTTTTTAGATGAAATTTGCGAATTAACAGAATATTTTGTTTTACTCAGACATACGTATATACATATTACTGTGTTTTAGGATTTCGTATCAGGTCTGCAAGTTCTTGAAATGTAAGATATGCTATACTATTCCAAATGCTCAAAGCTATAACTTAACAAGTAATTATCAAGAAGCAATTGGTAAGTCTGACATTTTTACTTATTTTTAATGGCTTATGGTTTAATTTTCTTCAAAGATTTAATCAAGATGAGACAGATGTTAACAACTATTTTAATCTTCAAATTCTACTCATTCAAATGTTCTTTTTTCGTAGTAAATACATGAACAATAAATGAAGGTAATTAAGCAAGAGATCATTTCTTATGATTATCTGACTTGGTATTGTTTTTAGACTAATGGATTTCCATGAATCAATCGTACGGCATGCACTGAGGCACAATTACGTTAAGGTTGCTCGATTGTTGGTCTCATCGCTTACCAATGAAATGCATCTTGAATTTGCATTTTTTATCATGAAATATATCATTAGCCATCGGAAATATACCAATTATTCAATTGTTCGAGAATTAGCGAGACAGTTGACAACGTATAAACTTCCATCAACAAGTCAAGAATGTAATGCACATAGAATTGAACGAGCGGTTGCTTACATTGTTGGTAAATTACGCAATCTTCATGTTCTGTTTTATATTTAGATGGAAAATTTATGGTTACTTTAAAGAATAAATTAAACTTAAGCAAATACAATTTTTGGATACTGGCAGTAGTGTTTAGGATAACTATAAAATTTAAATATATAAATTTGTTTTTTGGTTATCATTCATGCATGTTTCCAGAAAATATTTTCTTAGGCATTGAAGGATTTCGTTTAAAGCAGAAAGTTCTTCGAAATTTTATTTTAAATATTGTAGGTCCTGATGAATGATCTCATCGCCACAAAGGGTAATCCACGAAAAAGGGCGAGCTTTATTTCTACAATTAATGAATTTCTACCTAGTACTGGAAAATTCAAGGTCAGCTTTGAACTTTTTATTTGACAGTACGCATTAAAAATGCTGCAAGACTTCAACATTTCTAAATATAATCCCTAACCTTAGTTCCCTTTCTTTATGAAGGCCTCTAAAATGAACTTAAAGTCCCGGCATTGCTGGAGACAATATGTAAAATTCATCTCCCATATAAGCGGAAGTTCCAAAATTTTGAAAACGATCACGTCATCTATCCTTCGGGGTATTTGAAGTTGAAAATCTCTTTAAGATTATCAGTATAAGACGAGAATTTCCCTCAGGTTGCTGTAGTTGATTTTGTCACAATTTAGTTTTGTTTTCAGGAGCTCGATGCTGAAATTAAGAAAAGTCGTATAGGTCTTCTTGCAGTCACGATGAAAGAACAGCGAATCAGTCGGCTACAACGTGAATTTGATAAGCGAGCTGAAGAGATATCCGTACAAATTGATGAACACTTGGATATTTTACGAACAGACTTACTACCACCACTGGATGTATTTGCATTGGAAAGGTGGGCACAGAGTGGTATACCCGAGCAGGTTGCTCTGGCGGATATCATTGCATCAAATGGTCTTTGCGAGGAGAGCCTACTGCAGTATTTCAAACTTATTCAGGATACACCAGATCTTAGTGTTGATTTCTTCCACGCATGTTCGAATGATTTATTTATGGAGCAACAAGAAATTCTGAAGTATGTAATTATTGACTGATTATATTGATTTTAATGATATTGCCATTGCGAAGAAAAAATTAATCAAACAATCGGTTATAACTATATAACTAGCCCATATATTTTTTGTAGATTACTGCAGGTAGAATTTGTCAGCGAGCACTTATTTATGTGGGCCAAGATTATGACTTTAATCCAATTAATTAAAACTTCAGTGAGAATGTGACCTAGAAGTTTGAGGAAGACTCAAGGAATTAGCATGAAGTTGGAATTGCGGCATTATTAATGCAATATAATCGCAATCAGATATAACTTTTAATACACATGTTACGCTATAATAAATCAAAAAGACAAGAACCAAATACCCGCCGGCATGGCCACAAAGGATTTTCAAAGATAAAATCGGGAAACAAATTAGTTGTGAATAAACAGAACAAGCAATTCAAGAAAAAACTGCAAGACAAAACAAATAAAGAATGTTTCGGATGAAAGACTTTAATAACATCTAAATTCAAAATTTTGCAAAAAATATTTTGTAAATAATTCTAGTCGATTAATGGAAATGAGTCACTAGAGAAAAGCAATAAACTGTCAACCTCTTTTAACAGTCAAGTCAGAAGGTGGCGGTACAATCAGTTTCCAGAAGATGCAGTTGGTAAATAGCAGGGTTAAACATACAACACATAGAGAAACTGATTCAAAAATGAATTTCGGGGCAAAGATTTTCCAGACCATCAAATGCCGTCGATGTATAATTGCCATTACACATACTGAGACCACCTGAAATTCGATTGGATTCTGTTTTTTTTTTTTTTGGAATATATTTTAAGATAGAAATGTATTTAAGGTAGTCTAACATAACGCTGTGAGTTAAACTACTGAAAAATGAGTGGCATTAAACAACGGAATGGTTTTATCAAGTGAATTTTCACACTTTATCCAATTTCGAAAAACGAAATGGAAAATTTGATCCTTTCTTTATCGCTGATAACTTCCAATCTCCTGGAAGACTTATAGAGAGCTCCAATTTTTGTAACCTCACTCGCGGTTCCACTCGTCACACATTATTGCGAGTTGAATAGTGAAGTAAAGCTATCGGTACTTCAAGATGATTTTTCCACAAAAATGGATCTGTAGTGCTTACATGTCACATAGTGAGCACAGTAAGACCGCAAAAAACAAAATTAAAAAAGAAGACTGAAGTCCAAGATTTCACTACAAATCGTGATTTGGACTTTCGGTCTTCAGTCTTTTGGACTTCATACAAACTACAACTTGTAGTTGTAGTTTATATGAAGTTTGTACCTCTGATGTTTTTTAAAATTCTGACTGGAATTAACTGAAACTTACCTTCAATGAATGAAATAAGATCAATTTATAAGTCCAATGTGAGAGTCCAGATTGCCGATAATTTTGCTTTACAACAAGCATCGGTACTGCAACGCTTGTAATGATTTGCGATGCAAAAATATGCGCAACAATAAGCGTGCCCGGTACTATTTGAATGGCAAAATTACCGGGAACACCCACGAAGGCAGCTTGCCAAGGAATTGATGAGAATGTCGGTTGATGTGATAAAGAAAAGAATCCATGCGATGATAAAAAAACAATAAATACTATTTGGTAATATTCTGAAAAACAAAAACTATAAATTTGGAAATTTCAGACATAAAATGAAGAAAATAACGCAAGAATTCCCAAATGATCACTTCTTATGAGAGGCAACCTGGTTTCTCACATTAGACTTATAAATTGATCTTATTTCATTAAATGAATGTCTGTTTCAGTTAATTCCAGTCAGATTTTTTAAAAACATCGGAGGTACAACTTATAGTGATCGTTTGGGAATACTTGAGTTTGTTTTTTTTTTTTTTTTATCATCTTATCACATTAGAAAATTAAGTCCGGATACGACAAAAATATTTTAACATTTTCAATAAATTAAGTCAATCAAAATCTAAAAATTAAAGAGAAATAGGAAGTCTTTCAAGTATAGAAAAATAATCCAAAAAGTAAGGGAAAAAAATCTAGATTTACGAACATTTAAGATTAAAGATACGGAAAAATAGCATACCATCATCCACAATAAGTGGAATGAGAAAGATTACTGTAATTAACGAAAGAAAACTGAATGCTAGACCATCACCCAGGATCAGAAACAAGACAGATGATATACACACTACGTATGATATTGTGCAACTATTTTGATTCCAAAATTTTCCTATACAAGCTGCACGGAAACAAACAATTAATAAATTGATGAACGACAAACCATAAACAATCTGGAAATAACAATTTACATATTTGCTAATCTGAATACCGTAGAAGAAAAAAGAACTCGAATAAAGATGATGAAGTTTCTACAAGCAATTTAAAAGATTTTTTCTATAAACGATATAAAAATTCTACAGTTTCATTGGTCTATAGTACTAAATGACATATCACGTAGTCGCGATACTGCCAAAATGCTACAATTAAGAACTAACCTGAGCAGTACCAAGTGAAAATCGAACAAAATGGCTAACAGTGTCTTCGGGTAACCAAAGAGATAACCATGAAGTAATACAAGCAACAGCTGTTGGAAAAATTAATGTTGAAGTCCAAATTTCACTTGGATAATTTCGCAAAAGCTTCGTCACCAAGTATGTAGCAAGAATCTGTACTGAGATACCGAACATAAAACGCATTATTTTTATGGGGCCTAAAAAACAGCTAATATGATTACTTGAGTTAGAAATTTGATTACTGATTGCGATTAAAAATCATGATAGCTGCAATAATCTTTAACTATCAAACTCGTGCTCACTCCATTTAAATGAAAAATCCATGGAAATTTACTGATAGAAAATGATTTATGCTAAAAGCACTTACTATGCGGAATATGCGAAAATGACTGTGAAAATATTGTAGCTTCGCATGCATCTCTCTGCTCTTCTCGACATTTTTCAAAAAAAATGCCCAGCCGTAAAAGTAAAATGATGATAATAAAGATAAGAGAACGTTGCCAATTAAAACGATCTCCTAATACGGTTAAAAATGATCTCGAATGATGACGATTACTATGTTTTCTGCAAATAACATGTTATTATGAAAAAAAAAAAGAAAAAAAACCGTTGCAATCTAAGGAAAGTTAGCATCTAGAGATAAATAATGATACTATCAAGATACTCATATTTTTTCTACTCTCCTTCACCAGATTTAAATTAACTATTATATTAACAATAAATGTATTCTTTGTTATTTTTTTTGGTTTAGAAACTTGTATTGATCACATTTAAATTTAACTTTGTAGCGGCTAAGTAGATCTTTCAGAAATCATATACCTATTTGAAAATGATTGCCAAAATGCAATAGTAACCACGGTTTGCGTCAGGAAACGTATTACGGATGATTCAAAAACAATGTAGCTATTGGAAAGGAAAGATGATGCATGTACAATAGTCATACAGAATATAGCAATTTCCCAAATTGTTGATGTGAAAGAAAATAATGTTCTGGCTGCTCGAACAAGTTGAATAATCAGTGAGAAGGATAATAAAAAATCCAAAATTGCAATATAATGCTCATCATCTCCAATCAAAAAAATAGATATTTGAATGAAAAATAGACCGGACCGAAAAATCAATGAGGCAAATGAAATGCTGAAAAAAGAAAGAGCAAACTGAAACGCATTTATAAGACTTATGAAGCTGTTCCTATAGTTAACAGTATGTCAAGATATACGTTAAACAAAGAACAAAACTATTCGATCATTTAGTGATGGGTTTCTGGAAAAAGCACGACTGTATTCTGCAAATATTGGTAGCTGGATTTCATGAAATAAATTCATAATGTCAACTGCTTCCGTTTGAGGATAATTCTTAGAAATTTATTCTATAACGGAGCTTACTTTCCCGTATAAAGCGAATCGTAAACTGATAATACGGCATCAAGCAATGACATGAAACCGATTCGCATGAAACTATTGTTAAACTCAGTCCATGAAGCACGTAAAAGTTCTTGCAAACGCCGCATATAATCAATGGAGTTTTCTACATTTCCATTATTTTCGAAACTTCGTATCAATGAATCTAGCTCCGGTAATTGAGTTTCTGCCACAATAGTTCGTCCATAACGCATCATTTGCTCTGCATTACTGCTTATAGCTAGAGCCCGATGTTCCGGTACTATAGTGCAATCAATTAGGGTTCCAATATTTGAATATGGAATGGGCGAGTCGAGTAACAGACTAATTGTTGGCACAATGTCAACCTGAAAAAAGAAAAGAAAAACATTCCACGTAACCCGGAAAAATTCGTCGTTTCGATGATCATTCTAAAGTGCAGGCAGAATAAATGACTGCTAAACATGTGATAAATGAAAGCTGGTCCATCAAAAACTTTTCAGGTTTTTCGATATCTGAATCTCTTAAAAGTTGGAAGAGTTAGATATCTCACAAAACCATGACTTTATAAAAATCATTCTGCGACTGAGAGACGTTATTTTGCAACTGCTATTCGATTGAAATCAAGGCATAAAATTTCAGCTTCCAAGTCGTTTTCTTTTTTGTTTTGTTTTGCAGAGCAGAAATGAATCGAACTAATACTATGGTAATTGCGATTAAATTTCACCTGTGAAACTGACTTCGGCGGTTCTGCAAAAATTAACTTCTTTTTGGCAAACATAAATAAAGCAGCATCGATTTCTAGTGGTTCATCGCCACCATGATCGCCATTTTCAGTCATTCCATGATCGCCCATTACCAACAATAAAGTATCATTATCCAGAGAATCAACCACTTTTGCCAAAACTTCATTCATTTGCTTCAGTTTTTTGAACATTTCAGGATGATTTGGACCATATTTATGTCCACAATGATCAACGCCAAGAAAATGCGCTATCAGTACGGTCCAATCCGATTTTACAAGCTCACCGAAAAGATTATCTGGAATATGGATCCATCTAACAATACAATAAGGAAGAGCGGGTATGAGGGAACTTCATGTACTGAAAAAATTTGCTCATCTGATGAAATATTTGAAGTACTTGAAATCATTTAAGAAAAAAAAACTTAAAGACCATCTATAAAACCTTAAAAAATCATCTGTAACATCTTTAAAATTACTCAAAATCATCTGATCAACGGTGTGAAGATCATTTATATCGAAGGATGGCAAATGATATTTACGTCTGAACTGTTCTGGATAGAGTGAAACCCTGAAAAAAAAAAGCATATATTGTTATCGCATCATTATGCATCCAACAATGGGACTCCGAAATAGCTGTGCGATCAAAACGACAAAACAGTTCTTGAATTTCTAATTTCTAATTCAACTCTCTTTACAATCAAATTACACTCTCCTAACCTGGCAACATATTACAGCAAATTTTGTGACTAAGAAAAAATGGTTCATTTTCAAATTCATCGGTTACATTAAACAAATTACCATGTATCATCTCCTAGCATAACGATACTTCGATTCGTTGCGACAATTTCATCAACCCAGTTATCTTCCAGTATTGCAGTACTTGCGAAATTTGAACCAACATCAATAAAAGTGGGAAGTGAGCCAGTGGTTAATGATTTCAAACGCTGCATCGTAGTAGTTGGAGCATCAGCACGGAAGTGCATCAAAACTGCTGATTCTAAAATTTGATTTCAAGAAATCTATAATTCGTAAAGAATGAATTCTAACGGACATTGTTTTTCGAAGTTTATTTATTTTGTACCAGATTCATTTAATTACATTAATTATAATATTTTATGGCGGTCACCAGCCTGAGTTCCTTATATGGTACAATAGCAAAACCTTTCTAATTTTCACCAGCTTAAATCATCAATTTCTAGTTTTTGCTGAAAATTAAGACCTAGTGCATTTCGAACCATATCATTTCTCATCAGATGATAATTACCAACATCTAGTAGTCCTCCACTATTAATCTTTACTTGAAACTGCCCTGTTTCTGAAAATTTTCTACGTTCAATATTTCCAGCATATTTGCATGTTGTAAATGTGTTGTAGATTGATGAGCGATGTTGACTTACCGTTATGATCATTGAGTAAACGAGTAATGGTCGAGAAGTGACCGGAATATGCTTTGTTGTTACTGTCAAGCTGTCGTTGAAATGGTGCAACAAAATCATATCGTAAAGCATCAATTAGAATAATAACAGCTCGTTGGTACTGAGCTGGAAACCAACAGGCATCACGTGAAGCAACATCCGAACATGAACTGCGTGATGTGAGCTCAACTCGTTTAAGTAAGAAACCATGTTGGAATAGTAGTAATGATATGAAGAACGAAATACCAATAAATGCAATATTGATCAAATGAGCCTGGAAATTTTCATTTGATAAATTTATATAATATGATAATTTGTGACTACAATCTTGACGAAAAAGAGACATCAAATGAAACTTTTCATTTTATATGAGGACAATTCATATTGTTTTGTCCTCTTCATCAATGAATATCCTATCCTTCTTTCGATACCGTTCAATTTATATCATGGAAATAATTTATATCATGAAAAAAAAGTACAAATGGAAATATTATATAATACGATGAAGCATAGTAGCTGTCTTTTATTTTATTTATTTAATTACAATTTATAGCAAATCCCACTTACAATTCTGCCATTCATTTGTTCGAGATTGACCATGGTAATTCCGGAACCGGTACCAATGGAAGTGCACGAAAATGTCGCAATTCCCTTGGAATATCTTCAGGATCTATAAATGGGAAATAATTTTAACAGGAAAGCAACTTGAATTGATAAAAACATAGAATTTATATCCTAATAATAAACAATTTACGAATTCAATCATCTCTTAGTGAGAAACTTTCGGATTGACCATTTGACCAAAGTTATGACCATCTCTAATAAGATAACATTTAAACATTTGCTACGTTTTCACTTAATTACATATGCATAATTAAACATTCAAATTTAGTAACATCAAATTCCAACCGTCTGAGTAATCTAATGACATGAACCGGACAAAATCACTGGTTGACGGTAACGTCTCGATATCCAGATCTTTTTTTACGTTTTTATGTTCCACCTTCTCGATGATTGTGTTTGCTTTTTCCGGAATAACTTCGCTTGTTTTTTCCTTTTGCTCAATAATTCTCACTTCCGGAATTTTTGCTTTCTCTCGATTCTTCACTACTGCTGTATCATTATTTCTCACTTCCAAACTTCGCACTCTTCCTTTCTCTTTTATTTCTGTTTCTTGAATATTTACTTTTTCTTTTCCTCTCAATAAATTCTTGCTTTTTAAAATACGCTCTTCAGATTTTCCTCTCTCTTTTCTTTCTGCTAATTTCGAATTTTCTTTGTATTTTTTGCTTCCATAATCACATCTATGTACATTCCTCTTGTTTCTTTTTTGATCCTTTTGAGTAAGCCTATTTCTGATGCGATTTCCACATCGTCTCAATTCACCTTCCAACTCTTTTCGACGTTCCTCCTTACGTTGCTCATATAATGATTCTAGCAATGCTTTTTTTACATCACTTCTATCAAATCCTTCCTGAAACTAAGAATTTAACTCGAACCCAAAAATTCATTCGTTGAAATAAAAATATCTTCATCGGAAGATAAATCGCCATTAAAGATAACATTCACTGTTTTCTATTAAGATTAATCGATAATCTTTGAACAATGACTACTTGTTTGGTTTTGTGCAACTGGAAACTTCTTCAAGTTTCCTTAAATTACCTTATCTAATCTGTAGCACCACCTTTTGGAAGAAACCTTTTTTTTTTTTTTACTCTTTTTTTAAATAGTCACCTCTTCTTTAACCTCTAGACGTGGCCTTAAAAGTCGCTGTTCATTGGTTTGCTTTGCAAGATTTCTTCTCATTCAATAAGCGCAACCATTCGCGCAAGACACAAAACTAGAAGCATGAAATTAATTATTTATGATTTTGAATTCCTCAAAAATAGGCACGATTTATAAGGGTTAAATATTAACAGAATTTCGAAATTATATTTTTAATTGATCCGAGAAAAAAAAAATCTCACATAAACTACGGCCAAAAAACAAAAAACAAAGATCAGTCCAATATGAATCAATTAATGTATTAATCTTTTTTTGAATGTATTAATCTATATGTATTAATCTTTCAAAATTTGAACTAGCATATTAAAAATCAATTTTTTTGACGTCAAAATCCAATAATTTGAATTCCTATGATTCATATGAAATCCCTGTTATTCATTCCTGCATTCCTATCATCCACATGAAGTCCCTATCATTCTTATCACTCATTCCTGAATCTCTCTGATTCATATCATTCATTTCTGAATTTCCATTATTCACATCATTCATTCCTGAATCCCTATAATTCATATCACTTATTCCTGAACTCCTTATGGTTCGCATTCAACACTCCATATTCCTTACAATTCCTACATCTTACATGAAATTATTATCATCTAAAATGTATAACAGCATCTCAGCTGTTTGCAGTACCATATATACATAAATATATAATGCAGAAGATTGAAACATGAAGACAATTTTTTTTTCCTTGACAAATAAACAAACAAGCAAATAAAAAAATTAAAAGACCTTGCAGTTTATATTAGCCATTCACTAATACGTAAAGATGAAGCATTTTAGTAAAGTCAAAAAAAAGCAAACATTGAAGAGAAGAAAAAACTAATATATGTAGCAGAGAAAGTATATCGTTTGGAAAGCACACAAGATGTGGTTTTTTTCCTTTTTTGAATTTCAAACAATAAATGCAGATTGACCGGGCAAGAAAAAAAAATAGATAATACGACAATTTAGCATCATATCACAATAAGTTATTTGAGAAATAAAACACTAAATAAAGGATGATAATATTGGATTATTCCTCATAATTGTTCATAAAAATCAATCAGTCCTAGTTTTACAAACTGGACTGATAGGACCGAATCGACAAACATGTTCGACTTTATTACTGGAACAATCCCAACCTAGTTTTGTACTTAGTATCTTTGGCAATAGTTGAAAAATGCATTCATCCTTAATCATCAATTTTTCGGTCTAAAACTTTTCTTTAAAAAAAAAGAAAACTCGAGGAAAATTTCCTTCCTAGTTTGGTAAATTCGTTTTTTCTTGTCCGACCTAAACTTTTCTTTAAGAGAGTATTTGGAAGTGTTCCGGAACCAAGTCTTGCTTGTAAGCAAATGGCACCTTGTCCCGAATCGTCTCTTTGACCTTGTATGATTCCTACCTAAAACACAAAACACCACACAACGAATCAATAATATGTATCAATCGGAAGAAGTGGTGAATTTTCTAAAAGAAAAAAAAAGATAATACCTAACACGCGCTCCACATTACTCAGAAACAACAAGACTGAAAGCACTGAGATTCAAATATTCTAGAACTTTGGAAAAAAAAACAAATTTCATAACATATCCGAAATGTCTCTCAAAGCAATAAACTAATGAAAGGATCAAGCAAAAACCTGGGACTATATAAAACTGAAGATAATTAGAGATTTGGCAAATTTTTAATAAAATGAACTTTCATTCTTTTGTAAATATAGAATCCAAATTTTGCTATCAATCCGTATTCAGATGTTCCATTAGTAGCAATTCAAAAAATTATATAAAGTTATTGAAAATGTCAAGAGAGCATGAAAATTTCAGCATCGAAGATTTCATCGAAGAAAATTTCAGCTTCCCTTTCTATATAGTAGAAGAATAGCATATTATCTGGTCTTAAACATAAAAGAGTCTCTATCAATGCCGTATACGCAAACTGAAACGTAAATGAAAAATAAACTTTAAGATACATTCATTTCATCTTGTTTTCCTTTCATCTTACATGGAATGCCACTCAAAATTTCTACTGTTTCATCTTCATTTTCTATTTTATCCATCGTAACTTTGTAACTTGCCTTCCTCATCTGATCCCCTATAATATCTGCTGACTCAGATTTCTCGGAAACAGAATCGGAACTAATACATGAATTCACTACCGTTTGAGAGACATCATCCATAGCTTCAGTGGAAATTTTTGACGACTTCTCGCTTACAGATCCGTTGCTATCCGAAATTTTCGATTTATTCGATGACACACCATTGAAAGAACATGATGACTTGCTTCCTTTTTTACTGGAATGTTTCCTCGACGACTGGCTGGAAGATCTCGAATCAGTTTCGGCATATTTTGGTGTCCCACTTAATCTTCTAGATAATTTTCTTACACACGAACCCCTGGAAACATCCATTGTTTCTTCGGGATTACCACTTTCTAATATTTCTTTCTTGTTAACGGCTCCAAATTTTTCACTCCCACTCGATGAATTTTCTTCCACTGTTTCGGATTTTGTTTTCGTTTCCTTTGAAGAACTTGCAGCTTCAAGAACCCCACACGATGTGCCACTTCTAATCAGTGAAGATGATGAGCTTGATTTTTCGCGAGCTATTCGAAGCCTGCAAAACAACTACGAGATAATAAAAGTAGATAACATCCAGTAAGAAATAGTTTTCAAGTGTAGTTTTGGTTATTTCAACTTAATGTTCGAAGATCTGTTGAGATCTTATCATGACGCAGTCGCACGCTGGATATTGTCACCAAGTTTTCAATCGAGGCGAATGATTATAAAAAGTTCATTCAATTATTTCAATTCATTTGCCGATTCGGTGAAATTAATCGAAACACTACCAAAAGCCTCCTGTCAAACAAACTATTGATTTTTAAAAAAATTTTGAGAGAAAAATTTTTTTCTAAATTTTAAAAATGACAAACTTACCTAAGCTTGAACAGCCTCTTTTTATCTGATTTCGATGCCGGACGAATGAGACGATGTAATTTGAATGGAGCATCTTTTGGCAGTTTCGGTGGATTCAGAGGGTCTGTGTTGTAAACATTAAGCAATGCATGTGCCATGTACACTTTTTGGCTAGTTTGTACTGATCGTCCGCTTCGATTCTTCTGAATACAAGTTGTGGAACGCGTCGCCACTCCTTCACTATCTTCCTCATCAATACTATCATCAAACAAGTTACGACGTGATGTGGAGCGACCATAAAATACCTTCAAATAATTTATTTCAAGAAACCTTCCCTTTTTTTCATTTCTTTTTTACTGAATGGAAAATCGTCCTGCAGAATTCATAAACTTCCCAGCTTTCCTTTAATTCCTACTTTCAAGAAAAGAATATAGAATGACTTAGAATTTTGTAATAAAAAGTGTACGACTTGGAAAATGATTTAGATATCAACGCAAAAAGTTTCCGCAAGTATTTGAAACCATGAAGTAAACTTCTTCTATATTTAGCAGCAAAAATAATTTTTCCAACATAAAATCTCGTAATAAGAACGAAATTCTCGAAAGCGAAGGTAAAAATAACTTAAAAGAATAACATTTATTACTTCATTTTTATCACTTTTACGTGCTGAATGACGGACAGCTTCGATGCGTTTGCGATATCGCTCAATGATACTTTTGTCTAGTGATATATCTTTGCTCACAGCCTGAAAATAAAAACCCGTTGAAAACGAAATGAAATCTTATAAAGTTTTCAACAATGATTAAAATCTAGTTATTTTCAATTGAGTATTTCAAATCTGGTGAAACCAATAAATATGTGTTGTCAAAACTTGCGTTTCTATTATTTTTTCCTATTTCACCGACCGATCTTTTCCCATGCAAATACGAAGCCTCTTTACATTAAAAGTATTATCTAGAAAAAGTAAAAGATGCTGAGATACCAGTGAAAAATCACCGATTAAAGCTCCCGAAGCAAGGAATACTGAAGTGCTACCTCATGAAAACATTACAAATATAACTGTGTAGAAGAAGAATTGAAAAATGGTTCCATTTGAAATTTTCCTATCATTTCTTCTCCGGATTACTAACTAAACTGACTAAAATTCCCCTCTTCTTCATAGATTAGTAAGAAAAAATACTCTTTCTCACTAATCTATGAAGAATACTCTGAGGTCGTAATCCTTTTTTTAAGTTTTTACCTTTCTCTTATTTCCTTTCAGGTTCGCTGTGAGCTTGAATAAGATAGCAGTAGATTAAATAATCTATAATATGTTCTAATCTTTAATACAAGAATATCCGAAGAATAATTTAAAATTGGAATTCGAATGCGTTATATTTATAAAATGGTACTTACTGCAGGTGATGTAGTAGCAGCAGAAGCATTAGTTTCCTCATTTAATCGATCCATCATAGCAAAACGTTCGTTTAAATTAACACGTGCGGAACGTGTTCGTGGAACATTAACAACACTGGAGGCGGATGGTGATGATGGTAGCGAATTGCGTGATTTTCTGGGTGGTACTCTTCCACGTGTCATTGGAAGACTTTTTCTTTTTCGCGACTGCTGTTGCGATTGGGTCTTCAAACTTTGTTCTAACAATACCGCTAGCTTTTCGTTTTTACGTGTCGGAACTGAAATTTACTATTTAAATTTCGAGATGTTACAATGTTCGATCTGGGCAATTTATTTTGGACGATAAGATGAAGTCCCAGTACATGAATTAAAATAACCAAAAGATAATCACCTCCTCCGCGAGACTAACACAGGTAAAACTAGAAAGAACGGGTACTATCCATTTAGAGAAGATATATATATTCATGGTTCAGGATGTCTGGATACGAGGAAGGCATCTATTCTTGACATTTTCCCTAACTATTTCGTTGTGGTAACACTTCAATTCAGCAGGATTTTAAAGATTCAATAATGACCTTGCTTAGGTAATGACAACGATGAAATGAAAAGAGCATGAAGACTTCAATACATACATGGTACCACTGAAACTTGTGAAAAAGATACTAAATGAGTATAATCAGCATTCTTACGACAGAAAAAAAATTAAACTAAATAAATTTAATAATTCTTTCGCAAAAACAATGACTTACTTCGATTAAGTTTACTGAGTGGCGTTTGCATGACGTTTTCATCATCTTTAGAAACCTTTTCATCCAATTTCTTCTTCATTTTTGACTTCGGTGTTGACGGTACAACTATCTCTCCAAGGTCATCACCTTCACTAATTGTGCCGGAAGATGAACCACCACTCTCGCCTGCTTTTTCTTCCTCTATCTCTTTACTTTCGTCTTAAAATACTTAAAATCGTTCATCTGTTTAGGAGAATTAATTTGTATAAAGATGAAATTGGATTCGAAAAAAAATATTGGGAATAAAATTTTGAAAACATCAGGAAAAAGCCATCACTTCGACAAATCTCTACTGAGCTTACAAATACAAGGAGACAATCTGTACAAGTGAATGATGCAATTTAAGCTTAACAAAATGCAACGTATCTATTGTAAAGAGATAGTCCAAGAATGAAGTAGAAAATATTGTTCTAAAACAAAAATACAGATTTTAAGCTCAGATTTTTAAGATATCATTTGAAATACATCATTAATGACTGTAGAAATTATTCACTCATTAGTTAACACTTGCTGAAAGCAACCATAATATCAGTAAACACATAAGCGAATGACTTCGATGTGAAGTCATTTTCAACAGTTAAAACAAATAAACAACATAGAATCTAGCTTTAATATCGCTAATTTTGACATTTCGCACATGTTTTGAAATATTAGATAAAGTGAAAAGATACATATAACCGTTGATAAAGGTAACGATTATCAGACCAAGTAAACGATGAATGTTTCAAAATAATCAAAGATAATGAAATGAGTTTAGCCAAGAATAATTGGCACTTATCCCTAACAATATCATGTTTTGATCACTGAAACCCTATTTTACATAGCGAGCAGTGTGGAAAGAGGAAGACTTTGTGGTAGAGAAGAGAAAGAGAAGAAAATAGGTAGATTCTGGTGAACACACATTCTAAGAATAGACAGATCCTGATGAATGATCGCCACTGGAGTTGACTATTACTTTGACAGCTCAAAAATAGACCTACAGGGAAACAAAATCTCAATAATCCAATTCTTGCGAAAAAATTCCATTCTAATGCAATATTACAAACTTTTACCAGATGAAATGGGAACAAAAAATTCAAAAATTCAGAAATAAAAGAATGTGATAAAAGAGATCAGAAATAACGAAGGGAAATTGATCTTCCACTTCTCCTTTAATGAACAACTATAAGATAGAATACTATTAGTACCATTTACAATTATATCATATATCGATTATAATGATGACGTCAACAATGTTAAGATTGGAGATAATGAAAAAAATTGTTGCAATATCAACCAACAATTATTGTCTAATAAATTAAACTATATCAGAAAAATTTTAAGAGATGACTGCAAGTTACGCATCAATGCGTTGTAACTTTTTGTAGCATCCATTTCGCTAATATATATAGGAAATATGTCAATAATTTTTAGTCAATGGTACAAGGAGTGTAATGACATCAGAAGATACGAAAAAATCAATAAATTACCTAAAAAGAAATGTAAAGAGATAACCAGAAATTACGTATGAATTTGCTGTGATCTTTTGTGAATTGATTCATTACATTTCACTATTTTCAACAATATTGTTGTAAAAATAAAATATTTACACAGCAATCGTCAAAGTTGAAAATACTTCACGCATTTATCTATGTGATGGAAGATTTATATATTACTGTTGCAATTAATTTTTGAGGCTTGTATTAAAGATGATTATATCATGCTGCGATGATTACTACACCTATAATTTTTATCAATAAAAAAAAGAAGGATTAGTTGACAACTTTCAGAATCATAGTATAACAGGATTATTCTACAAAGAAAAGGTTATCCTATAGAAATAAGTTATCCTACAAAGAAATAATCGCACACGGATACGCTGTAATATGATGAATATAATTGTAAATTAACGACACAAATGGCACACGTCAGGTATAGATGTATTATGGTTGACAGTTAAAAGTTCGAAATATATTTGATGTCGTATTCGTTTTAATCAATTCTGTTATTTTGCAAAAATAACAAATATAGACATCACATTATCCAATGGAAGTTATTAATGTTTTCTCTTCGATGCCAAAAACACTGATCATTAATGGGGCAGGATAGAGAAAGATTGGGAGAGAAGAATGAGGTGCTTACAATGCAATTATGCAATGATTTAAAGATGTAAATATGACGAGAATTCTTTCCTGTATAAATATTCAAGATGAAAGAAGATGACCTATGTAAGTTAGGACGTGTTTTCTTTTACAAACCTACCCCACTTCCAGCTAGAGAGCTGTAAGAGATTATCATTGGTTCATAGTGTCAAAGATAAACTTGACGCAAAGAATATAGTGTGGTGCAAATTTGTCCGTATATAGTAAAACTATCTACTCCAGGAATTTCCTATTTAAATACTAGAATTCCCCCAGATTTTTTGAAATCCCTCATCAATAGTTGTCTTCGATAGGATGTGTTAAGTTTGAACGTCATCAAAATATATCATTTACAAACACAAACATTTAACCATTATTCAAATTGTGAGAAGTAAATTACTGATATCATCCCACATAATATGAAGAGAAGTACTGCAAATTTCATCAAAAATGAGAGTAATTTGCATATGACTCGTCTAAGAATTACTTAATTGAAGCTGTTCGAATTTGCGGTTACAATGAACCGATCAATAAGGCTATATTCGACAATTAGGTGAATCTGAAAATATAGCAAAGTTAATCACTTACCCGTCTACATAATGCTCATGCTTTTCATGGTTTTCTTCACAGGAATGATAAGCAAATACTTTACAATAGCCATTCTGGATAACCTTACAAGTGATCTGTGATCCAAATAAGTGTAGGAATGCTACCACTTAAAACAGCACTCTAAAGCGATCCAAACAAGAAAACCAAAGAACCGACTTCCGAAGTAAAAAATCCAATCTTGCGTCCATTAGTGACTGTATCGGCTTCCCGGGTTATCCATTCGGTATTTCCAAAAACGCCTTTTCAAACCAATAAATACATATGTGAAAATCAAACATGAAAACTTTTACTCTTCCGTTTTCAGCAAGCGTAAAAGTTTTTCTACAGCATGTTGTGGGGGTTAACTAGTGAAAGGATAAAATTTTTTTCTCTGCCAAACGAGATGAACATAAGGCTTTAATAGGATTTGAAAGTTTTCTCACATGGCATAACTGTTTTAACAGAAAGTAGGTCCGACCGAAGCCGATAACTATTAATATACAAAGCAGTGACAAAGACGTGTTGACAAGGTTGTCACTGAATAAAATAAACAACAACAACAACTACTGCTACTATTATTACTGCCACAGCAGCAACAACAATACAACAATAACGCTAACTGAATGTAAGGTCATTTTGACGTTGAAGAATTAGTCTTGTGGAAAATGAAACAACTCCAAAATGAATAAAACCGCTAATAAATTACAATAATCTTAGTGATATTTTCAACCACTTAACATATAAATAAACACCAGCGAGGCAGCAATAACAATAACAAGAATAATGTAAGGTCATTTCGACGTTGAAGAATTAGTCCTATGGAAAATGAAACAACTCCAAAATGAATAAAACTGCTAATAAATTATAATAATCTTAGCGATACTTTTAATCACTTGACATGTCTAAATAAACATCGGCGGAGCATTGTTAACTATTTAACAGATGGCCTTTTTAAAAAGCACGACAAAGAATATGTTTAGCATGTGAGGTACTTTTCGATAGATTAATAATACATTTGTTTTTGAATCTAAAGCTTGAAAACAGCATATATTTCAATCTGGCAGCTATGCAAAGTAGACGAATGGACATAAATTTAATGTAACAAAGTGCAAAAAATCAAGCAAAAAGACAGTGAATGAACGTCAACATGTAAAACTGAAAGCAATGATATTCCTGCCACTTACCTGAGCTGCACTTTGACCTGAATTATTTCTTCAACGTTAAATATCAAAAAATAAAGAAAGAATTAATGATGTGAACGCGAACCAGCCCTTTTGCCTTTTTCGCGAGCAGCGATTCGTTTTGAGATCCGTTCTGCTTGTTTCGCACGTGCACGAAGTCCCATTTTCTGCTTTCCAGATCCGGATTCAGGTGATGAATCATCACTTTTACATTTTTTATGTTTCCTTCCTTTTTCGGCTTTCTTTGTAGCAGCTTTCCTCTCTAATGCGAGCATTGCTGCACTTCCTGGACCCATTTTTCGACTACTTCTCCTCCCCACTTCACGAGCTTCAAGTATTCTACCTGCACCTGTATCAGCTGTTCGATCTTCCAGATCAAGTGGCATCTTTATACACAATTCTTCGTAAATATAAACCATTGCTTTGGGCATTATATGAGCAAATCTGAAAAGCAACTGTCTATATCTTTATGTTCCTAAACAGTGTGAAAAAGAAATACTGTTTCTTTCTAAAATTTAATTATTAATCAGCTCAACTGATAAGCATGTAATGCGAGACTTACTGCGCTTCCAAATGCTAACATGTAACGTGGTATATACGTACGACCAGTGGCACTAATGCTGGCTGTAAGCCAAGCGAAAGAGTGCTACTTCGACGGAAAGGTCAAGCCACTAGCATCAGCATTAGCAGAAGTTAAGTTGGCATCTGCTCAGTTTCTTCGTATATTTTCTTTTTTCGGCGAAAATGAAGAAAAAACCTACTGGTCACAAACAATTTCATCAAGAAAACTTTTCATATGGACTGAGTCAGCAACAAATACCAGAAAACCCAACTTGTTTACAACCTGAAATTAAAAGTGAACACTGGACGTATGCGGTTCCCAAGTCAATACATTTCTCAAACAAATCTTTTGAATGAAACAAAACCAACACAAAAACGCTTTCTCGTAATGTCCCTTCTTTTTTTTTTCAGCAATAAGGACAAACCTCAGTTTCCTCGATCAGTTCTGGATGTTTTTTAATCAAATGAAGTTCGAGAAGCACCATTAATTCATACTCACGAAGACGCTCGAAGATATCTACTGCTCTTTCTTCACGATCATATTTCGTCGTTAAACCATCACAAGTAAGTATAATATGTTTTTCAATAAACTCGTTAACCAAATCCTACAAAATTACTGAGAGTTCTATACCGTTAAAGCTAAGTTTTCATAATAGCCGTTTGATACAGATCAAAAAAAAATTAGAGATCAATGCTGTTTCACTTGCAACATATACATATAAATATGTAAATAAATAAATGTATATATATATATATATATATATGTATATATATATATATATATATATATATATATATATATATATATATATA